TCCGGAACACTGTTGCTGGATGCACTGGTTTGGTGACACTTGCACTGTTGTGGCTAGCGATCAGGAACACTGTTCCCACCTGCGCTGGCTCTGGTAACACTGGCACTGGTGTGGCTAACAATCAGGAAAACTGTTGATGGCTTACACTGCTCTGGTGACACTGGGACTGCTGTGGTGGTGATCAGGTATACTGTTGCTGGCTTGCATGGACCTGGTGACACTGGTACTGGTGTGGCTAGCAATCAGGGGCATTGTTGGTTTACACTTCACTGGTGACACTGCGACTGGCGTGGTGGCAGTCAGGAACACTGTTGCTGGCTTACTGATCTGATGAAACTGGGACTTATGTGGCAGTGATCAGGGACATTGTTGCTGCTACAATGGCTGTGGGGATACTGGCACTGGTGTTGCAGAAATCAGGAACACTGTTGCAGGCTTATACTGCTCTGGTGAGACTGGGACTGGTGAGGTGGTGATAAGGAAGAGTGTTACTGGCTCACGCTGGTCTGGTGACATGTACTGTGTTGTAGTCAGGAGCGCTGAATGGTTCCTGTACTGAGCAGCAAACCTCTTGTGTTCAGAATTCAGCTGAACAGCCACTCAGCACATAACCTGGAAGCTAGTGGGGATCAATGGAGTAGTGGTGATTTCCAGCTACTAGAGGTATCCTACAGGTATGGAACAACAGACTTACATAGATCCAAGCTGGACCAATGTAATTAAGTAAACAATGCCATACCTGAAATTCATATTTAAATAACAGAGCAAGTGCCAGGGAAGAAAAGGCAAATGGTCAGGAAAAGCAGACCATTTAGCTTTATAAAGTAAGCAGAAGCTCTGCACTTGTTGGAGAACTACAAGCCCCACCATGCCCAGCCTAGGCAGGTAGACAGCCCCTGTGTATTTGTCTCCAAGTTACTGCACAGTGGAGTGAATGGCACAACTGGTTAAAGTTTTAGCAGAGCCCCTCAGCAAGCCTCATGTTGTGTTCCCAGGACAACTTAATAAAAGGTGGGACTGTCTTGGCAAATCCAGGACCATTGGTAGGTCTGCTTCTGTTGGTGGCAGTGTGACCCAATAGTCTCTGAATCCTGTGTCCCTTAATGAACCACAAGGAAATATTCTTTAGACTCAAATATTAACTTATTTTTTCTGTGGTGTTCATTCCAATTTCCTTTTTTTCCATCTAATCTCTTATAATGGATCTTGCTGCAAGAAAAACAAATAGAGCACCATTATTTTTAACAGCACTGTAGGGAGCACATATGCAGATTCTTTGTTTTGTAAAGGGACTGCATTAGCAGTGATCTATAGCCATCTCATGTAATGTGCCTTCAATCTATGATCGTCTCTTTAAAAATGTCCCCAGTCACCAACAACTCCTATAGCATGTTTGCAATATCTGACCAATCTGTTAAGCATGTCCACAGTGTCTGGCCATCTCCTGTAGCATGCCCATAGTCTCTGACCATCTCTATGGCATGCCTGTAGTCACAGATGATTTTCTGTAGCACACCTATAGTCTCTATCTCCTCTTGCATGCCCATAGTCTATGTAGAATAGTCTCCTGTAGAATGCCTTTAGTCTCTGACAATTTCCTGTGACATGCCTGTAGTCTATGACCATTTCCTGTAGCTTGCCCATAATCTCTATCTCCTGTAGCATGCCCATAGTCTCCGACCATCTCCTGTGGCATGCCTGTAGTCTCTGATGATTTTCTGTAGCACACCTATAGTCTCTATCTCCTCTTGCATGCCAATAGTCTCTGACCATCTCCTGTGGCATGCCCATAGTCTCTGATGATTTTCTGTAGAACGCCTATAGTTTCTGACTATCTCCTCTTGCATGCCCATAGTCTCTGACCATCTCCTGTAGCATGCCTATAGTCTCTAACAATCTCCTGTGGCATGCCCGTAGTCTCAGACCATTTTTTGTACCATGTCCATAGTCTTTGACTATCTCCTGTTGCATGCCCATAGTCTCTGACCACCTCCTGTAGCATGCCCATAGTCTCTGACCATTTCCTGTTAATGCCCATAGTTTCTAACCCCCTCCTGTATCATGCAAATATTCTCTGACCACCTCCTGTAGCATGCCCATAGTCTCTGACCATTTCCTGTTGCATACCCATAATCTCTGACCACCTCCTGTAGCATGCATATAGTCTCTGACCATTTCCTGTTGTATGCCCATAATCTCTGACCACCTCCTGTAGCATGCATATAGTCTCTGACCATTTCCTGTTGTATGCCCATAATCTCTGACCACCTCCTGTAGCATGCCCATAGTCTCTATTTCATGTGGCATGACCATAATCTCTGACCATCTCTTGTGGAATGCCCATAGCCTCTGACCATTTTCTGTACCATGCACATAGTCTCTATCTAGACGTAGACCCATTTACATCTGCTTGCATTAGACTCCATTTATGTCCACAGAAAAAAAATGTTTGTGTCGTCTTCTGTTTTTTTCAAACAGAAAAGGAATGTCGTCTATTTACATTCGCTCAGATTATGTCTGTTTATACGCAAGAAATATATTTTTTGTTTTTACTTTTGGCCACCTATGACTATTTTCTTCAACAACTTAAAAAACAGAGAGGTGAAAAAACAGATATAAACTGAACTAAAGTGGGAATGTTTTCGAGAGGAAACTGATGCTGGTGTGAGAGGACCTTTCTTTGGGTACCTGGACTCAGCCTCCTGCTGGCCACTACACCAGCAAGCAGCAGATGGCGCTGCGAGCATACTGTAATTCTGATTCATCTTAGAATCATGTTGCAAATGCTTTCCTCTCATTTTACCGAATGATCATCTGTGCTATTCCTTGCATTTGTTCCCTCATTAAACCATGACCTATAGTCTATAATCTTTATTGTCTCTGAACATCCCTAGAATGCCCATAGTCTCTATCTCCTGTGGCATGCCCGTAGTCTCTGACCATTTCCTGTAGCATGCCCATGGTCTCTATCTCCTGTAGCATGTCTATGGTCTTTTAACATCACCCATAGCATGCCCATAGTCTCTGCCCATCTCCTGTAGCATGCCCATAGTTTCTAACCATCTCCTGTAGCTTTCCCATAGTCTCTAACTATCTCCTGTAGCGTGCACATAGTCTAACCATCTCCTGTAGCATGCACATAGTTTCTAACCATCTCCTGTAGTATGCACATAGTTTCTAACCATCTCCTGTAGTATGCACATAGTTTCTAACCATCTCCTGTAGCTTTCCCATAGTCTCTAACTATCTCCTGTAGCGTGCACATAGTCTAACCATCTCCTGTAGTATGCACATAGTTTCTAACCATCTCATGTAGGTTGCCCATAGTCTCTAACCGTCTCCTGCTGCATGCCCATAGTCTCTGCTTTACTATTTTCAATAGCATTCCCATAGTCTCTGACCATCTCCTGCAGCATGCCCATAGCTTCTAATCATCTCCTGTAGCTTGCCTATAGTCTCTGTCTCCTGCTGCATGTCCATAGTCTCTATTTTACTATTTTCGGTAGCATGCCCAAAGTCTCTGACTGTTTTACTATTTTCAGTAGCATGCCCATGGTCTCTGACCATCTTCTGTAGCATGCCCATAGTCTCGATCTACTGTTGCATGCCTGTAGTCTCTGATCATTTCCTGTTGCATGCCCGTGGTCTGTAATCATCCCCTGTAGCATGTCCACAATCTCTAACCATTTCCTGTAGCAAGGCTATAGTCTCTAACCATTTCCTGTGGCATGCCCATAGTGTCTAACCATTTTACTATTTTTTGTAGCATGCCTATAGTGTCTGACCATCTCCTGTGGCATGCCCATAGTCTCTGAACATTTTACTATTTTTTGTGGCATACCTATAGTGTCTGACCATCTCCTGTGGCATGCCCGTAGTCTCTGACCATCTTCTCTGGCATACCCATAGTCTGTATTCACACCCACTAGCATGTCCACAAACTCTAACCATTTCCCGTGGCATGCCCATAGTCTCCGACCATTTCCCGTGGCATGCCCATAGTCTCCGACCATTTCCCGTGGCATGCCCATAGTCTCCGACCATTTCCCGTGGCATGCCCATAGCCTCCGACCATTTCCTGTGGCATGCCCATAGTCTCCATTTCCTGTGGCATGCCCATAGTCTTTGACCATTTCCTGTGGCATGCCCATAGTCTCTCACCATTTCCTGTGGCATGCCCATAGTCTCCGACCATTTCCCGTGGCATGCCCATAGCCTCCGACCATTTCCTGTGGCATGCCCATAGTCTCCATTTCCTGTGGCATGCCCATAGTCTTTGACCATTTCCTGTGGCATGCCCATAGTCTCTCACCATTTCCTGTGGCATGCCCATAGTCTCTCACCATTTCCTGTGGCATGCCCATAGTCTCTGCCCATTTCCTGTAGCATGTCTTTAGCTTTATATTTACTAAGGCTGGTGCTATTCCTTGTTTCCTCATTGACTCGTGACCTATAACATGCCTACTACACAAGAACACCTGCAACTTTCTAGGCAACACTCATTCTTGCAAGTCTTTGGTCTGCAATAGACAGAAAGACCACTTGCTTCATATTGTCGGACTGGAATGGGTTACGCGCTGTACGTGACGTAAGGATGTACCGCCCCAATTGCGGCGTGCATTGCGTCTGACGTAAACCTCGATTGGCTTGGCGGCAATATGGCGGCTTCTGAGGCCGGTGGCTCGTCTCTTTCGGCGGAAGATGCGTTTTCTACGTTTTATACCGAGGTGACGTAACCGCAGCTTTAGGAGAGACATTGAGGGGGTGGGGCGCTCATCTTCCAGCTGACGAATGAACCGTGTGAGCGGGAATCTCAGTGTGGGACCATGTTATAGTCTCTGAACACACCATTCTGAGGTGATTGTGTGCCAGGGGTCCTAGGAATGACTTATGAAAGAAAAGTAGTGAGGTGCTATGTTCTAAGCCCAGTAGCCTATCTCCCTGTGTGTAGCTGTCCCTTCTTCAGTTTTCTTTCCTGGTTTGCTGTATAGATCATACTATATACTAAACCAATGTGTGAGTGTGTGTATATATATATATATATATATATATATATACAAATGTACTATTTAAAGTGGAATTCCGAGCAGAAGTAGATCCAATAGCCATGATCTCCCCAATGATGAAGACTATAGTGTCTGTTTTATTAGGGGGTGTAGTACAGACTAATCCCTCACCCCAGGGTCCTACACCAGCTGTTAGGCTCTCTAGAGCCCCAGTGTGGGTGGGCACTGCTGGGACTGTTAGTCCTGTGTTATATATGATGAGGGTGGGCAGCAATAAGACCGGTCAAAGACTAAAATAGAGAGGAACTTTAGGGCTATGTCAGAGGATGGCATACACTATATTGCCAAAAGTATTGGGACACCCTCCAAATCATTGGATTCAGGTGTTCCAATCACCTCCATGGCCACAGGTGTATAAAATCAAGCACCTAGGCATGCAGACTGCTTCTACAAACATTTGTGAAAGAATGGGCCGCTCTCAGGAGCTCAGTGACTCCAAGCGTGGAACTGTGATAGGTTGTCACCTGTGCAATAAGTCCATCCCTGAAATTTCCTTGCTACTAAATATTCCACAGTCAACTGTTAGTGGTATTATAACAAAGTGGAAGCAACTGGAAACAACAACTCAGCCAGGAAGTGGTAGGCCATGTAAAATGACAGAGCGGGGTCAGCACATGCTGAAGCACAGAAGTCGCCATCTGTCTGCAGATTCAATAGCTAAAGACCTCCAAACTTCATGTGGCCTTCAGATTAGCACAACAGTCCGTAGAGAGCTTCATGAAATGGGTTTCCATGGCTGAGCAGCTGCATCCAAGCCTTACATCATCAAGTGCAATGCAAAGTGTCGCCGCCACTGGACTCTAAGCATCTCTCACACTTCTCTGTCTGGCAATCTGATGGACGTGTCTGGATTTGGTGGTTGCCAGGAGAACGGTATTTGCCTGACTGCATTGTGCCAAGTGTAAAGTTTGGTGGAGGAGGGATTATGGTGTGGGGTTTTTTCAGGGGTTGGGCTTGGCCCTTTAGTTCCAGGGAAGGGAACCCTTAAGGTATCGGCATACTGAGACATTTTGGACAATTTCATGTTCCCAACTTTGTGGGAACAGTTTGGAGATAGACCCTTCCAGTTCCAACATGAGTGCAGTGCACAAAGCGAGGTCCATAAAGACATGGATGAGGGAGTTTGGGGTGGAGGAACTTGACTGCCCTGCATAGAGTCCTGACCTCAACCTGTTAGAACACCTTTGGGATGAATTAGAGCGGAGACTGAGAGCCAGGCCTTCTTGTCCAACATCAGTGCCTGACCTCACATATGTACTTCTGGAAGAATGGTCAAACATTCCCATAGATACACTCCTAAATCTTGTGGACAGCCTTCCCAGAAGAGTTGAAGCTGTTTAGCTGCAAATTGTGGGCCAACTCAACATTGAACCTTATGGACTAAGACTGGGATGCCATTAAAGTTCATGTGTGTGTTTAAAGGTAGGCATCCCAATACGTTTGGCAATATAGTGTATTTGCAAGTAATTTTTTTGCTAAGGAAATCAGTTCTATGCAAACATTGAGGCCTTGTTCACATGGGGCCTACTATAGTGTATGCCTGTGTGAGGGCTGTGTTTGCCCACACAGGGATACACAGGAATTCCGTACATCCCTGTGCAGGTAGGTATTCATGTCACTTGGGACGCAGCAGTTGCACAGACAGTCACTTCTCCCAATTTGACATCTGTGCAGGTCCTTGAATGCAGACAGTGTGAACTCCAGAACACGCACCCACACATATATTAACCAATTCAATACCGGCAATTTTACACCTTCCTGCCCAGGCCAGTTTTCAGGTTTCAGCGCTCTCACATTTTGAATGACAATTGCACGGTCATACAACATTGTACTCAAACTAAAATTTTATCATTTTCTTCACACAACTAGAGCTTTCTTTTGGTGGTATTTAATCACCGCTGGGGTTTTTATTTTTTGCTAAATTAACAAAAAAAGACCAAAAATTTGGAAATTAAAAAAAAGACCAAAAATTTGGAAAAAAAAAAAGTTTCTTTGTTTCTGTTATAAAAGTTTGCAAATAAATAATTCTTCATAAATTTAGGCCGAGATGTATTCTGCTACATGTCTTTTGGTGAAAATAACCCAAATTAGGATGTATTTTTTAGTTTGTAGGAAAGTTAGGAAGAGTTCACAAACTATGGTATAGATCTGATTATTGATCAATCCTGAAGTACTGACAGCCAATCTAATTTCTTGAGGTCCAAGAATGTCAGAACAGTACAGATATCCCCCAAATGACCCGTTTTTGCAGAGTAGACAGTCCAACGTACTTCATAAGAGGCATGGCGAGTTTTTTGAAGTTGTATTTTTTTTGTCATTTTTCGGAAAATGAAAAAAATTAGTTTCACTATTTTTTTTACATATTGTCACCAGTGCAGTACAGCGTTATCATATAACTGGCATGGCGGTGATCAGGGACACTGGTGACAGTATGAAAAAAAAAAAAATATATATATATATATATATATATATATATATATATATATTTATTATTATTTTTTTTTTTTTTTTTTTAATTAATTTTTCTTTCATATCTCACTATGACCAAAGTAGTACAATGTTACCATAGTAACATTGTACTACTTTGGGGAAGTGATCAGTATTTTTTTTTTTTTTACACAATTTGCTTATAGCAAAGAATTACTTTGCTATAAGCAAGCATTTACCTGAATGACATCGATTCATTCAAGGTTTTTTTTTTTTTTTGTGCTTATCTGTGATTTGGCCACAGCTAATCACATGACATGTGCATGTGATTAGCTGTGACCATTCACAGCTAGACACTAGTATACAATGGATGGCATGAATGAAGCCATCCATTGTATACAACTGTCATGTGACCTGCTGTGATTGGTCACAGCAGGTCACATGGTACCCGCAACGGGGCCGATACTCAGATCTGTCATCGGCCGTGTCCGAGGTACACGGCCGGTGCCAGATCGCGCTGCTCTGCAGGAGCGCAATCTGCGCATGTGCGGGAGGACGCCATATGGCATCCACCCGAAACACTGATGACATTTGCCGGCCATAGGGCAGGCGGCAAATGGTTAAATTGGGAGCAGTGGCTGCATCCCAATTTCACTTTAATGATGATACATGGAATGCTTGTGCATCTCCGTGTGGTTAAACTCAGCCCTCACACAGGTGTACTCTGTAGTACGTGTATTTACCCACACGGAGATGCACAGGCATTCCAAGCATCATCATTCATTTGAGTTGGGATGCAGCTGCTGCTCCCAATTTAATATCCGTGTGGGTGCGTGTCCTGCAGTTCACGCTGTCTGCATTCCAGGAATGTGAACGAGGCCTTACTAGTTTTACCGCAGTCCTACAGACTGGTCAGCAGTTAAGTTTATGCATAATTTCATACAGTGATATACTCATCGCGGATAATCACCCTGCGCTCACTTCACTGGCTTGGCTGCGAAATGCCAAAGAGAAGAGATTTGTAGCAAAGGACACCAGCCTAATTAGAAAGTACTAGTTTAAGTGCTTTTTTTTTTTTTTTTTTTTTTTTTTTTTTTTTTCTCGACAGCACAATTGTAAATGGCGGACTGGTGAACTGTTATGTACTATTCCAGTTTATAAATGCTGCTGTAGAAACAGCCCTCAGGCAGCCATTGATCCACTGGATGGCTGTGAATTAAGTCTTCCTTAGATGGTTCAGTTCATAAGGGTAGTGTACTGAGCTGATCCAAGGTTCTCTGTAGAATATAAGCAATCACATACTACTGTTTGCATCGTTGTTCCCTTCATTCATCTTACAACACAGAAAGGAGAGAAATCTTAGTAGTCTATGAATGGGAAAGAGTTAGCAGTATTTGCTGATCCATTCATTCAGTTTCACTCACTGTGCAATCATTTTAGTAACCCTTTCACCACTCCCTTATTTCTACCTTGACTTTGATTCTGTATATTAACCCTCTTGTAGCCTGCACATTAACTCCTTTATCTCCAGCCTTCTTTTGTATGTGACCTGTACATTAACCACTTCCTGTCCAGACACTTTTACCCCCTTCCTGTCCAGGGCAATTTTCAGCGCTATCACACTTTGAATAACAATTGCGCGGTCATGCAACACTGTACCCATATGAATTTGTTACCATTTTTTTGAGACAGATAAAGCTTTATTTTGGTGGTATTTATTCACCGCTGGGATTTTTATTTTTTTTGCTATGTAAATGAAAAAGTCCAAAAATTTTGAAAAAAAGTGTTTTTCTATATAAAATTTTGCAAATAAATAATCTTTCATCATAAATCTTGGCCAAAATGTATTCCGTTATATTTTTAGTAAAAAAAATAAGCCAAATTAGGTTATAACCAAAAAATTATAATTTTGAAACTTTTTTTTGTACATTTTTATTTTATTTTTTTTTATATTTTTTTTTTTTTTTACACATACTGTCACCCTAGCAGTACAGTGTCACCATGGTGACACTGTACTACTTGGGGGTGATAAAGATTTTTTTTTTTTACAGTGATTGCTTTTACACCCATATAGGATGTAAAAGCAATCATTTCTCTTTCTCTCTGTCTGCATTCTTGAGAAATACTGAGTGAGCTGTGATTGGTCACAGCTTGTTACATGGTACAAGGCTGTTGTGAATAGCCTTGTACCATGTGACCTCTGTGATCATTCACAGATTTCACACGTAGTAAGCAATGATGTCACAAGTGACATCTTGCTTACTACTTTGCATGTGATCACTGATTGGCCAATCAGTGATCACATGATTGGGACCTCGTACAGAGGTCCCGTCCGACCGGTGTTTCACTGTGTCCGGAGGACACAGCGGGCACCAGATCGCGTGTGCTGCGCGCTCCCAGGGAACGCGCACAGCTAGAAAAGGGGGGTGCCGTTTATGAACGGCAACCCGCCCCTGGAGTGCCACCGCCCTGCCGTTTATAAACAGCAGGCGGACGGCAAGCGGTTAAAGAGGTAGAAAACTGCCTGGAAAAAACAAAAAGATGGGCCCCTCTGTGGGTTTAGGTCATAATGTATTAATATGTACCGCATACTAGAACATTAAGACAGACTTACCTGTACACAGAGCCTTCCAGCGCTGCACTGTTATGGCTCCCCAGCACCACCATTTTCACCTGGTCTTCTTTCTGGGTTCCCGTGCTCTGGCCATATGAATGACCAGAACCGTTATGACTTTACTCCCACGCATGCATACGGAAACCATTGGCTGCAGCAATGAGTTTTGAAAGTCCGGAACACTATGCCGTCCCTTCAGAGCACATGCTTCAGTGATGTCACTGGCTACATGCTGTGTGAATATCTCCTAAACTGTGCATGTTTCGGAGATATTCACTCTACCTACAGGTAAGCCTCATTATAGGCTTACCTGAAGGTACAACTTACAAAGTGAACTTCCACTTTAACCCCCTCACGCCCTGATCCCTGTGTGTATGACCCGTATGCGCTGTAGCTAGTGCATCATTATCAAGTTCTTTGTTTTAACCTCTCAATGCCAGCATGTTTTTTCACTCCCAAAACAGGCAAAAACACCTTGAGTTGTTTACTTTTCAAAATGGAGTAATTGTAGGGGTGTTCATACTGTTCTAGTTTTTAATGTTCCTTCTATAGTTACAAACAAAAACCTAA